CATATAAATTATTTTACATCCGCGGAAATTCCAGCAGTTAAAGCAAGGCATAAACAACACGGTGCAAGCGGTCATAAAGTTACCTGTCTAGAAAGCTGACGCCACGACGTGTGTGAGAGCAAACTGCCGCAAGTTAGTTCGCAATAGCTGGCTACGGGTGATCAAATAGAGCTGGTAATATGTGAGCAAAGGAAGCTAGTTACAGGTGAGAAGAAGAAGCTAGTCACAAGTGAGAAGAGGAAGCTAGTTACAGGTGAGAAGAGGAAGCTAGTTACAGGTGAGAAAAAGAAGCTAGAGAAGAGGAAGCTAGTCACAGCTAGAGAAGAGGAAGCTAGTTACAGGTGAGAAAAAGAAGCTAGAGAAGAGGAAGCTAGTCACAGCTAGAGAAGAGGAAGCTAGTTACAGGTGAGAAGAGGAAGCTAGTCACAGGTGAGAAGAGGAAGCTAGTTACAGGTGAGAAGAAGAAGCTAGTCACAGGTGAGAAGAGGAAGCTAGTTACAGGTGAGAAGAGGAAGCTAGTTGCAGGTGAGAAGAGGAAGCTAGTTACAGGTGAGAAGAGGAAGCTAGTTACAGGTGAGAAGAGAAAGCTAGTCACAGGTGAGAAGAGAAAGTTAGTTACATGTGAGAAAAGGAATCTATCTGTCTCTCTCTCTCTCTCCCTCCNCCCTGCTGCGCTCACGCCCCCTCAACCACCCACATGCTGCCCTGCTGCGCTCACGCCCCCTCAACCACCCGCTGCTGCCCTGCTGCACCCACGCCCCCTCAACCACGCTGCTGCCGCTGCGTCGCACGCATATTCACCGGTTATTTATCGAGAATATTCGACTTAGAACAAAAAATGCTGAATGCGCAGCAGAGGCGGCCGTCATATCACACGTTCATACATTCCACCCGCAGAGCTCCCAGCCAGGCCAGAATGCCTGCAAATACCGCTGCATTCCAAGAACCTCTAATGAGCACTCAACTCTCGTTAAAATGCTGAAATCAGTCATGAGTCGAGAAGAGATGCTTTCAATTCAATCTCCGACACGGATTTCAAACAAGTCGCCTAAAACAGATCGTTTGCTTTTAAAATTAATAAGTAGTGAATCGCCAAATGTGCCGTTCTAATTACTAATCATTACACGCTAATCACTGTGTTTGCTGTTAATTACATAGAACAAGAAAGGCAATGACATCCCTTCTGACGAAACAGTCTATCTAATGGACTGGCAAGCGAGTGCAGCTTTTCAACCTATACATCACGATCAATGCATGTTTCTGCCCTTACGTAGTAAAGGCATAGGGAAGATTTGCACTTTTCAGTATATGCAGTAGGGAGAAGGGAACCCTTTCCAGTGTGCCGGGTAAAAAATATGCCGGTTCCCAATACCCAGTAAAACTAAAATCGCAATTCCCAGTTTCCATATTATCCATAAATTCCCATGCTCAAATTTCTGGTATTTTCTGCTTTTTGGATAACCAACATGGACGGACCCCCCCCCCGTCCCGAAAGTAAATGGTGCCCTCTCTCTCTGCAAACCGCGTGACTACGCACAACGATTCATTTTGCTCACTACGAATGCTGGATGGAAACTGTGGACAAGCCAGACAAGTTTCAGACGTTAAGTGATAGCATTACTGAACTTTTCCACGCGTAACGACAGTGCAAATTACGCGAGTACGCTTCAGTGAAACAAATGCGGCTAAAATCCACACGACGAGTAGGAAAATCGTGAAAATGAGAGATACCTAAATAATAATAGTAATAATAATAATAATAATGATAATACTAATAGGTGTGCGCTGCCTAATCGCTTATACACGCGGCGTGTGACAACACGGTCTGTATTTGCATGGTTGTGGTGAGAGCAAGGCAGGAAATAATATCTGTAAACGATAGGAGGAGGAAATTAAGTAATTACTCGGCAACGGCAAATATGAATTCAAGCGCCATGCATACGGGTAGAGAGAATGAAAGGAGAGATAGAGAGCCGGAGTGAGAGTGGGATGGAGGGAGGAGAGGAAGCGAATGTGCGGTGGGGGGAGGGGGGGGATTAATGCAGCGAGGATCACAGGCGAATATCATCATCATCACTCCATCGTGGCAGCTGCCCCCATAATGAATGTACGACGAGTCAGCCAATCGATATACCACGCTCTCTCCAGCTCATCGATATTGACCAGTGCTACTTACAACGCCTGCTAGTTGCGCATGCGCCTGCCTGATAGCCCCCCCCCTGCCTCGGCTAAGGAGCTACATATGTGTAAACATAGCTGCATATATTGCTCCTTGCATCCATCCACCTCCACACGTATCGACTATATACGGATCGAACACATATAGGGATTCCAGTGGAACATATAAACGCTGTAGCGTGCGATAAACTTATAGCGTGCGATGTAGCACGCTGAAGTATTGCGGCCCAAATTGCCACGAAATTCTTCACTGAAGGTTGGGAGCGTGACTGATTATCACTAACCGTGGTTAGTGAACATATAGCAATAGTAAACAGCGACCATTATCATATATCAGGAGCTAATAAGGAGGTTATATATCAGGAGGTTATATAGGGCTACTTGTCATTATTAGCTCCTGCATATATCAGTATATATACATACATACGGACTAACATTTATATCAGCTAGCATAGTAAACGTACTGAAGAATTTCCCCTATAATTTATAAACGTAGCGTCAGCTAATTTCGAAATGTTGCGGCGCCGTGTTGCCAGCGTATAATAATAAATAATAGAATAAATAATCATAAATAGTTATGATCGTCCACCCCATCATGCCACAACTGTCACGTGCTTGTTGCGCGACATTTCACTCCAACTGTTGTGACAATTCACTCTTACTACATTCACAGTTATTCATGAGGCCTAAAAAAGACGTTTGTTTCCGCTATCGAGCTGAAAAAAATTGTACACGGTAGTTTTTCGTTAGTTTATATATACTACCTAGTATATACTATGCTTAGCAGCATATGAAAGACTTGAAACGTCTGCGGTGTCCCCGCGCCTTTCAACACACGGCAGCCAGACGCGCGACTTTACTTTACCCTAGTCGCTCATCCCACGATCCCCACAATACACTCGCACCTCAATAATTCACTGCATCTCAGCTCTAATTAGATGACACAAAGCGGCACGGGCGACGGAGATGGCCCGAGGGCAATAGCACTCAGATATCTCCCGGACTTATTCCCCATGTCCCCAGAGCAACAGCCGTTATATAGCATGCGCTCAAACGAAACATCGTGACCCGTAGGGGGCGAGGGTTGGCGGCTAAGCGCCACTGCCGACAACGTGACGAACGCCATGTTGTTTCGGTGTAGACTGCAGCGACCCTCACTATCTCCCCTACGAGTTTATTACACGCTAGATGGGTTATCTAACAGCGGATATCACTGCATCGCCTCCAACAGCGAGCCAAAGCAATGATTGTCAACCCGGTAATGAGCAGGAATGGGAGCGGAGTAGATGCCGGGAACAAAATTAGTCTTAACATTAGTCTTAACATTATCAATTTCTCCTAGACCGTCGACATCACTTTGTTTCGTATTGTTATGAGGAAATCTGCTACGATTTTTCATTCTCGTAACTTGGCAGCGTTTCTGTCAACGGTCTAAGAAAAAAAGTTAGTGTTAAGACTAATGTTAAGACCAATTTTGTTTCTGACAACGGGCCCCAGAAACATATTTCGAGCAGGAAACACGTTGTGTAAGAGTGAGATCGATGCATCTGCACAAGTGGACAAAAGTCTCCCTTCAAAGCTATCACAAAAAACACTTAACTTCAAACCCGTAATTGTTAGCTGCGCTGATAAACTTCCTGAATATATATCTTGTAAATATCTTATCAATCCTCTCGTTAAGCATCACTGAATTATAATTACAAGCAAGCAATTAGAGATAGGAGCACTGCATTCATTTTCTCGCCTCTATCAAGCCTAGACGATCAAGCCCGCGCATTGAAATCTCCAAATGGAACACTAAATAATGGCTTTGGAGGTCCTAAGATAACCTAACCTTACTTGATCTCTCCTATGTTCAACATTTCACTATTCCTACAAGGACTAGTGCTCATTTCCCTTATCCCAATATAGCAGGCGTGTGCCCACCCCACCCATTCTCCAACACACGAGCGAGAACCACTCACGGTCACAGAATAAAATCAATAACCCTTTCAATGCAATCTTTTCGGAACAATCGCACCTTTTCTCGATTTACGAGCAGAGAGCCCGAGCGAGAGCGCTAAAATCTAATAGGTTAGTAACTCAGTCAAGTCAAGTAAATTAGTAACTCGGTCACGTCACAAGTCTTTCTGTCCCCAGACTAAGCATGAACAGTGCAAAGACTGCGAGAAACGGAGTGGTGATGATGAAGATGGCATCGCATCGGAAGCTCTGGACCACATGTGTCCGTCGCGCAGGTCTAATGAAAGGCATTCACATTTGCAGTTTCGCAGATGCCGCAAAGTTCACTCGGGCGGACAGGGTGCATAGTACGAAGCGCACAGGCAGGTCGATGACGTTAGGGGAAGGCAGGGCATTTGCAATCCTAGGGGAATGTACACAGAAACAGAGTGCAGGGGCGTGTACAGGATTTGTACCGGGTGGGGGTCTAACAGTAAGCCGAATTTGCGAGCACGCGAACGGGGGGTCTGGGGAATTTTTGAAATTAGACCTCCTTAGATGCGTTTTCTGCGCGAGCAGGGGGGGGGGGTCAGGACCCCCTGGACCCCCCCCCCGTACACGCCCCTGGAGTGTGAGGAGGAGGGAGGGAGCAGCTGGGGAGGACGAGGCGAGGTAAAAAAAAGTGCGAGGGGGAGGGCAACGGGGAGCAGAGAATAAGGGTAAGGGCAAGGTAGAGAACAAGGGGGAGGAGAAAGAGGAATGAGAGTAGAATGGGGTGACAGAAAAGGGAGAGACACACACTTGCACCCCCCCTCCCCCCGCGCACAATGACAACACGCGGAAGCCCCTGTGTCGCCGTGGCGACGCTGACGACGACTTACCTTGTGCTCCAGTATGATGCAGGTGAGGACCTTGAGGCAGGTGTCGACTCCCAGCAGCTCGAGCGGCAGGTGCAGGGGGAAGTCGATGAGGGAAAGCCGCGTCCGGTCCGGCAGCGCAAACGTCAGCGGCGCCTGAATGTCGTTCGGAAGCACGTCGACCTGCAACGTCAGCAGAGGGCGCCACCGATGGCACGCGTGAACGATCGCTCGTACGGAATTGTCGCAGCACTAGACTGGGAAGCTCGCAACATTATAGGAAATGTGAGCACAACTCTACAGAGGGGAGTACATCCATGTTGTTGTTGTTGTTGTTGTTGTTGTTGACACAAGCGACAGTGATGATGGTGACAGGTTTAAGGAATGTCACACGATTCTAGTTTTCAGCCCTGCTTTCATTTAAAAATTAACCAGTTAAAGTAGGCTGCTACATCGTAACAGATATGTATGTGCAGACAGACATATAGCTCGTTCAACAAAATAGATTTGACACTACAATTTCACATGCACACTCATACATGTCATACATACACATAGATAATATATTTAGTATTAGTGACAAATAACTAAAGACTGGATGTTTACTAATTTGAATTACGTATAGCGGGCGGCACAGCTCGTTCTCTGCCTAGCATGATTGTGTTGATTGTTGAGATGCCGAAGCAAGTCACATTTATTCCGGCCAATACACTCGCAAACCATACAGATGAAAAGAGCTTAATTATAATTATCAAGCGGCATAACTTAACGACGGAAGTTGGACCACGACTAAATAATTCGATCGCCACCAGAAGCGCTCCTGCAAACCTCGCGACTACAACCCTCGGAACGCGCGTCTCGGAGTACGAGCGAGCGATCGGTCACACTCAATCTGTTGGTACTCACGTCGACTCTGGTCTTGCCTGGCACGGGGACGGGTGTGCTCAGTAGTCGCAGCATCCACGTCTCAATGTCGCGAATGAAGGTCTTCACGTAGTGTGGCGTCGCCTCGGGCATCTGTCCAGCAAGCACGCTCCACACTGGGTCTCTGCGCAACAAGACAGATCATTGATAGAAGACACCCACATGGCTACTAGCCGCAGAGGTCAAAATTAGATTTTTATTATGGTATCCATTCGGGATACCAGGTATGACCACTATCCCGATTTTGACAATTTTTGT